ACGCCCACAGCCAACCCCCAGCAAGACACGCCCACAGCCAACCCCCAGCAAGACACGCCCACAGCCAACCCCCCAGCAAGACACGCCCACAGCCAACCCCAGCAAGACACGCCCACAGCCAACCCCACCAAGACACGCCCACAGCCAACCCCAGCAAGACACGCCCACAGCCAACCCCCCAGCAAGACACGCCCACAGCCAACCCCAGCAAGACACGCCCACAGCCAACCCCCCAGCAAGACACGCCCACAGCCAACCCCCCAGCAAGACACGCCCACAGCCAACCCCCCAGCAAGACACGCCCACAGCCAACCCCAGCAAGACACGCCCACAGCCAACCCCCCAGCAAGACACGCCCACAGCCAACCCCAGCAAGACACGCCCACAGCCAACCCCAGCAAGACACGCCCACAGCCAACCCCCCAGCAAGACACGCCCACAGCCAACCCCAGCAAGACACGCCCACAGCCAACCCCCCAGCAAGACACGCCCACAGCCACCCCCCCAGCAAGACACGCCCACAGCCAACCCCAGCCAGACACGCCCACAGCCACCCCCAGCAAGACACGCCCACAGCCAACCCCCCAGCAAGACACGCCCACAGCCAACCCCAGCAAGACACGCCCACAGCCAACCCCAGCAAGACACGCCCACAGCCAACCCCCCAGCAAGACACGCCCACAGCCAACCCCCCAGCAAGACACGCCCACAGCCAACCCCAGCAAGACACGCCCACAGCCAACCCCAGCAAGACACTCCCACAGCCAACCCCCCAGCAAGACACGCCCACAGCCAACCCCCCAGCAAGACACGCCCACAGCCAACCCCAGCAAGACACGCCCACAGCCAACCCCCCAGCAAGACACGCCCACAGCCAACCCCAGCAAGACACGCCCACAGCCAACCCCAGCAAGACACGCCCACAGCCAACCCCAGCAAGACACGCCCACAGCCAACCCCCCAGCAAGACACGCCCACAGCCAACCCCAGCAAGACACGCCCACAGCCAACCCCAGCAAGACACGCCCACAGCCAACCCCCCAGCAAGACACGCCCACAGCCAACCCCAGCAAGACACGCCCACAGCCAACCCCAGCAAGACACGCCCACAGCCAACCCCAGCAAGACACGCCCACAGCCAACCCCAGCAAGACACGCCCACAGCCAACCCCAGCAAGACACGCCCACATACACTGAGACCACGCCCCCCCCACCCCCTCCTAAACTACGACTCACATCGACACGCCCACATACACTGAGACCACGCCCCCCCCAAACTACGACTCTCACACTGACACGCCCACATACACTGAGACCACGCCCACCCCCTCCTAAGCTACGACTCTCACACCAACACGCCCACATACACTGAGACCACGCCCCCTCCTAAACTACGACCCTCACATCGACACGCCCCACTTACGGCTGAGACCACGCCCCCTCCTAAACTAAGACTCTCACACCGACACGCCCACATACACTGAGACCACGCCCCCTCCTAAACTACGACTCACATCGACACGCCCACTTACGGCTGAGACCACGCCCCCCTCCTAAACTACGACTCACATCGACACGCCCCACTTACGGCTGAGACCACGCCCCCAAAACTACGACTCACATCGACACGCCCACGACACTGATAGACCACGCCCCCACCACGCCGAGGAGACCACGCCCCCACTACACTCACACCACGCCCACAGCACGACGCCCACTACGAGGAGACCACGCCCCCACTAACTCACCACCACGATTCACCCCACCACGCCCACAATACAGACCACGCCCCCACTACGCGAAGAGGGCCACGCCCAAACTACGACACTCACCACGCCCACTATACAGTGAGACCACGCCTACTACACAGAGAGGCCACCCACCCACTATGACACGCCCACTACTTGAGAGACCACGCCCACTACTAACCCTCACGACACGCCCCCCCACCGCTCAGACCACGCACCCCACACGCACACCACGCTCACTATAGGAAGACCACGCCCACTACGCTCACACCACGCCCACCAGAGGGAGACCACGCCCATTACACTCACACCACGCCCACTACACTCAGACCACGCCCCACTACACGCTCAGACCACGCCCACCAGAGAGGGTCCACACCCTCTAGTCCCCTAGGCCACGCCCCCTGTCTCTAGACCACGCCCCTCCACAACGTGTGTGGTATTCTTAGTTTTTTCGGTAAAGTCACGTTGAAGAGAAACAACAAAATAATAATAAAATATATATAAAACAATAAAAAAATTCTCACGACGTTTCGACCATAACTCAAACGGTCATCATCAGGTGTGTTGGTTCGCATAAATTTATTTTTAAACGGCGCATTTATTTATTTATTTTTAAAAAACGTTAGCGCCACGCGCAGCGATTTGGCAGTTTACCCAGGACTAGTCCATCTATATTCTGAAAAGAGGAGGGGGAGACGATTTTTTTTTGTATATGTGGACAAGCACAGAGACAATTTCAACCGAGAAGATGGATTCTATCTTAGAAATCATTGGAAAGATTTGATAAACCATTTCAGGTCTTAATTGATTGTTCACGCTTACAGTGGCTTTCAGACAGCATACATTATAAAAAAATTTCGTCTCCCCCCTCCTCTTTTCAGAATATAGATGGACTAGTCCTAAATAAACTGCCAAATCGCTGCGCGTGACGCTAACGTTTTTTTTATAAATAAATAAATATGCTGTTTAAAAATAAATTTATGCAAACCGACACACCTGATGATGACCGTTTGAGTTATGGTCGAAACGTCGTGAGAATTTTTATTATTGTTTTATATATATTTTATTATTTTGTTGTTTCCCTTCTACGTGGTGACTTTACCGAAAGAACCAAGAATATGAATCCCTGCAGTCACGAAAGCTTTAAATCAAAATTTGTTTATTTTAGTAAAAAATATATATTATATTTTTTAAAATAAAATTTTAACAAACAATTATTTGACTTTTTTTCATTTTATTATTATTTTCTATACTTTTTGGTTATTTCGGTAAAGTCACGTAGGTAGAAAAATTATTGATTACGACGTTTCGATCGCAACACAAGTGGAACAAGAAAATCTGCTGAAGTTACTTAACCCAATTGTGAATTCCGGAAGATGTCTACCGTCAATTTTATTGGTAAGCTTCTAATCTTCCGGAAGAGGCAACAACGTGGGAATCTTCCGGAAGATATCTACCGTCTATTTTATTGGCAAGATTTACATCTTCCGGAAGCGGCGGAAATGTGGGAATCTTCCGGAAGAGGTCTACCGTTTATTTTATTGGCAAGCTTCTTATCTTCCGGAAGAGGTAATGATATGGGGTGTTCCGGAAGATATCTACCGCCTGTTTGATTGGTAAGCTTCTTGTCTTCCGGAAGAAGCAACGTGGGTATCTTCCGGAAGATGTCTACCGTCAATTTTATTGGTAAGCTTCTAATCTTCCGGAAGAGGCAATAACATGGGACTCTTCCGGAAGATGTCTACCGTCAATTTTATTGGTAAGCTTCTAATCTTCCGGAAGAGACAAGAACATGGGAATCTTCCGGAAGATGTCTACCGTTTATTTTATTGGCAAGCTTCCAAACTTCCGGAAGAGGTAAAGGTATGGTGCTCTTCCGGAAGATATCTACCGCATGTTTTATTTGGAAAGCTTCTACTCTTCCGGAAGAGGTAGAATGTGGGGTCCTTCCGGAAGATGTCTACCGTCCGTTCTCATTGACAACCCTCCCTCTTCCGGAAGATGTAGTGATGTAAGGATCTTCCGGTAGACGTCTACCGTCCGTTTCAAAACTAACCTACCCGGCTTCCGGAAGATGAAGCTATGTTGGGGATCTTCCGGAAGATGTCTACGGCGTATTTTATTGGACAGTTTCTTATCTTCCGGAAGTGACAAAGTTGTGGGGCGCTTCCGGAAGTCGTCTACCGTTTGTTTTATTGGTAAACTTCCGGTATTCCGGAAGATCGTGTGTGTAGTGTAGTGGGTGTCGTCTGGATGAGTGGGTGTAGTGCAGAGTGTAGTTGGTGGTGGTGGTTAGTGGTGGTGCCTCATCTACTGGCTGTGATTGGAGTGGTGGGTGGAGCGCTGACTGACTGTAGCAGTGGCTGACTGTAACAGTGGCTGGCTGTAGCAGTGGCTGACTGTAACAGTGGCTGACTGTAGCAGTGGCTGACTGTAGCAGTGGCTGACTGTAACAGTGGCTGGTTGTAACAGTGGCTGACTGTAGCAGTGGCTGACTGTAGCAGTGGCTGACTGTAGCAGTGGCTGGTTGTAACAGTGGCTGACTGTAGCAGTGGCTGACTGTAGCAGTGGCTGACTGTAGCAGTGGCTGACTGTAGCAGTGGCTGGTTGTAACAGTGGCGGACTGTAGCAGTGGCTGACTGTAGCAGTGGCTGACTGTAACAGTGGCTGGCTGTAACAGTGGCTGGCTGTAGCAGTGGCTGGCTGTAGCAGTGGCTGACTGTAACAGTGGCTGGCTGTAACAGTGGCTGGCTGTAGCAGTGGCTTACTGTAGCAGTGGCTGGCTGTAGCAGTGGCTGACTATAACAGTGGCTAACTGTAGCAGTGAATGGGTGAGTGAGTGGGTCGGTGAGTGGGTGAGTGAGTGAGTGGGTGAGTGAGTGGGTGAGTGAGTGAGTGGGTGAGTGACTGAGTGAGTGAGTGGGTGAGTGAGTGAGTGGGTGAGTGAGTGAGTGGGTGAGTGAGTGGGTGAGTGAGTGGGTGAGTGAGTGGGTGAGTGAGTGGGTGAGTGAGTGAGTGGGTGGCTGAGTGAGTGAGTGGGTGAGTGAGTGGGTGAGTGAGTGGGTGAGTGAGTGAGTGGGTGGGTGAGTGAGTGGGTGAGTGGGTGAGTGGGTGAGTGAGTGGCTGAGTGAGTGAGTGGGTGAGTGAGTGGGTGACTGAGTGAGTGACTGAGTGAGTGACTGAGTGAGTGGGTGAGTGACTGAGTGGGTGAGTGAGTGATTGGGTGAGTGATTGGGTGAGTGAGTGGGTGAGTGAGTGAGTGAGTGACTGAGTGAGTGAGTAAGTGGTGAGGAGGAGCTTTCACAAATGGCTGCCGCCACCTCCACCCCTGCCTCCACCTCCTCGACCTCTCAGTCCACCTCCTTCCCCCTCGTTCTCGTCGCAGTGGACTTAGCCTGCATCATCCTTGGTGAGTCACTCACTCAGTCACCCACTCACTCAGTCACCCACTCACTCACTCAGTCACTCACTCAGCCACTCACTCACTCACTCAGTCACCCACTCAGTCACTCAGCCACTCACTCAGTCACTCAGGCACTCACTCACTCACTCAGCCACTCACTCAGTCACTCAGGCACTCACTCACTCAGCCACTCACTCAGTCACTCACCCACTCAGCCACTCACTCAGCCACTCACTCAGCCACTCACTCAGCCACTCACTCACCCACTCAGTCACTCAGTCACTCACTCACTCAGTCACTCAGGCACTCACTCACTCAGCCATTCACTCAGTCACTCACCCACTCACTCACTCAGCCACTCACTCAGTCACTCACTCACCCACTCACTCAGCCACTCACTCAGCCACTCACTCACCCACTCAGTCACTCAGCCACTCACTCACTCAGTCACTCAGGCACTCACTCACTCAGCCATTCACTCAGCCATTCATTCAACCACCCAGCCACTCACTCACTCAGCCACTCCCTCAGCCACTCACTTCGCCACTCACCCATTCATTCACCCACTCAGCCACCCATCCACTCACTCACTCAGTCACTCACTCAACCACTCACTCAGCCACTCACTCACTCAGTTACTTTGCCATTCAGCCACCCACTCAGCCACTCACTCAGCCACTCACTTTGCCACTCAGCCACTCACTCAGCCACCCACTCACTCACCCACTCAGCCACCCAGCCACTCACTCAATCAGTCACTCAACCACTCAGCCACTATCTTAGCCACTCACTCAGCCACTCACTTACTCAGCCACTCACTCAGTCACTCAATCATCCACCCAGTCGCCCACTCACCCACTCGCCCACTCACCCACTCACTCACCCACTCAGCCACCCAGCCATTCACTCACTCAGTCACTCACTCAACCACTCACTCACTCAGCCACTCACTCACTTTGCCACTCAGCCACCCACTCATCCACTCAATCAGTCACTCACTCAACCACTCACTCACTCAGCCACTCACTTACTCAGCCTCTCACTCACTCAGCCACTCACTTAGCCACTCACTCATTCAGCCACTCACTCACTGAGCCACTCACTCAGCTATTCACCCACTCACTCACACTGAGTGACAAGTGAGTGTATGAGTGAGTGAGTGTATGAGTGAGTGTATGAGTGAGTGTATGAGTGAGTTTGTGAGTGAGTTAGTGAGTGTATGAGTGAGTGTGTGTATGAGTGTGTGTATGAGTGAGTTTGTGAGTGAGTGTGTGAGTGAGTGAGTGTACGAGTGAGTGACTGAGTGAGTGAGTGTACGAGTGAGTGTTTGAGTGAGTGAGTGTATGAGTGAGTGTGTGAGTGAGTGAGTGTGTGAGTAAGTGAGTGAGTGTGTGAGTAAGTGAGTGAGTGTGAGTGAGTGTATGAGTGAGTGAGTGTATGAGTGTATGAGTGAGTGAGTGTATGAGTGAGTGTATGAGTGACTGAGTGTATGAGTGAGTGAGTGTGTGAGTGAGTGTATGAGTGAGTGAGTGTATGAGTGAGTTTGTGAGTGTGTGAGTGACTGAGTGTATGAGTGAGTGAGTGAGTGTATGAGTGAGTGAGTGTATGAGTGAGTGTATGTGTGAGTGAGTGTATGAGTGAGTGAGTGTGTGAGTGAGTTGGAGTTTGGAACCTAACAACAGTCCAACGCCCAACAACCATCTGATAGTTGACTGCGACTGTGTACACAGTCTGTGGGTGGCAGTGTTGAGTCTATGGTGCAGTGTTGAGTCTATGGGTGGCAGTGTTGAGTCTATGGGTGGCAGTGTTGAGTCTATGGGTGGCAGTGTTGAGTCTATGGGTGGCAGTGTTGAGTCTATGGGTGGCAGTGTTGAGTCTATGGGTGTCAGTGTTGAGTCTATGGGTGGCAGTGTTGAGTCTATGGGTGGCAGTGTTGAGTCTATGGGTGACAGTGTTGAGTCTATGGGTGGCAGTGTTGAGTCTATGGGTGGCAGTGTTGAGTCTATGGGTAGCAGTGTTGAGTCTATGGTGCAGTGTTGAGTCTATGGGTGGCAGTGTTGAGTCTATGGGTGGCAGTGTTGAGTCTATGGGTGGCAGTGTTGAGTCTATGGGTGGCAGTGTTGAGTCTATGGGTGGCAGTGTTGAGTCTATGGGTGTCAGTGTTGAGTCTATGGGTGGCAGTGTTGAGTCTATGGGTGGCAGTGTTGAGTCTATGGGTGACAGTGTTGAGTCTATGGGTGGCAGTGTTGAGTCTATGGGTGGCAGTGTTGAGTCTATGGGTAGCAGTGTTGAGTCTATGGGGCAATGTTGAGTCTATGGGGCAGTGTTGAGTCTATGGGTGGCAGTGTTGAGTCTATGGGTGTCAGTGTTGAGTCTATGGGTGGCAGTGTTGAGTCTATGGGTGGCAGTGTTGAGTCTATGGGTGACAGTGTTGAGCCTATGGGTGGCAGTGTTGAGTCTATGGGTGGCAGTGTTGAGTCTATGGGTAGCAGTGTTGAGTCTATGGGGCAATGTTGAGTCTATGGGGCAGTGTTGAGTCTATGGGGAAGTGTTGAGTCTATGGGGCAGTGTTGAGTCTATGGGTGGCAGTGTTGAGTCTATGGTGCAGTGTTGAGTCTATGGGTGGCAGTGTTGAGTCTATGGGTAGCAGTGTTGAGTCTATGGGGCAGTGTTGAGTCTATGGGTGACAGTGTTGAGTCTATGGGGCAGTGTTGAGTCTATGGGTAGCAGTGTTGAGTCTATGGGGCAGTGTTGAGTCTATGGTGCAGTGTTGAGTCTATGGGTGGCCGTGTTGAGTCTATGGGTGGCAGTGTTGAGTCTATGGGTAGCAGTGTTGAGTCTATGGGGCAGTGTTGAGTCTATGGGTGACAGTGTTGAGTCTATGGGGCAGTGTTGAGTCTATGGGTAGCAGTGTTGAGTCTATGGGGCAATGTTGAGTCTATGGTGCAGTGTTGAGTCTATGGGGCAATGTTGAGTCTATGGTGCAGTGTTGAGTCTATGGGTAGTGTTGAGTCTATGGGTAGCAGTGTTGAGTCTATGGGCAGTGTTGAGTCTATGGGTATCAGTGTTGAGTCTATGGGTAGCAGTGTTGAGTCTATGGGGCAGTGTTGAGTCTATGGGTGACAGTGTTGAGTCTATGGGTAGCAGTGTTGAGTCTATGGGGCAGTGTTGAGTCTATGGGCAGTGTTTAGTCTATGGGCAGTGTTGAGTTTATGGGGCAGTGTTGAGTCTATGGGGCAGTGTTGAGTCTATGGGTAGCAGTGTTGCGTCTATGGGTAGCAGTGTTGAGTCTATGGGGCAGTGTTGAGTCTATGGGTGGCAGTGTTGAGTCTATGGGTGGCAGTGTTGAGTCTATGGGTGGCAGTGTTGAGTCTATGGGTGGCAGTGTTGAGTCTATGGGTGGCAGTGTTGAGTCTATGGGTGGCAGTGTTGAGTCTATGGGTGACAGTGTTGAGTCTATGGGTAGCAGTGTTGAGTCTATGGGTGGCAGTGTTGAGTCTATGGGGCAGTGTTGAGTCTATGGGTGGCAGTGTTGAGTCTATGGGTGGCAGTGTTGAGTCTATGGGTGGCAGTGTTGAGTCTATGGGTGGCAGTGTTGAGTCTATGGGTGGCAGTGTTGAGTCTATGGGTGACAGTGTTGAGTCTATGGGTGGCAGTGTTGAGTCTATGGGTGGCAGTGTTGAGTCTATGGGGCAGTGTTGAGTCTATGGGTGGCAGTGTTGAGTCTATGGGTGGCAGTGTTGAGTCTATGGGTGGCAGTGTTGAGTCTATGGGTGGCAGTGTTGAGTCTATGGGGCAGTGTTGAGTCTATGGGTGGCAATGTTGAGTCTATGGGTGGCAGTGTTGAGTCTATGGGTAGCAGTGTTGAGTTTATGGGTGGCAATGTTGAGTCTATGGGTAGCAGTGTTGAGTCTATGGGTAGCAGTGTTGAGTCTATGGGTGGCAGTGTTGAGTCTATGGGGCAGTGTTGAGTCTATGGGGCAATGTTGAGTCTATGGGTGACAGTGTTGAGTCTATGGGTAGCAGTGTTGAGTCTATGGGGCAGTGTTGAGTCTATGGGGCAATGTTGAGTCTATGGGTGACAGTGTTGAGTCTATGGGTAGCAGTGTTGAGTCTATGGGTAGCAGTGTTGAGTCTATGGGTAGCAATGTTGAGTCTATGGGTGACAGTGTTGAGTCTATGACAGTGTTGAGTCTATGGGTAGCAGTGTTGAATCTATGGGGCAGTGTTGAGTCTATGGGTAGCAATGTTGAGTCTATGGGGCAATGTTGAGTCTATGGGTAGCAGTGTTGAGTCTATGGGTGGCAGTGTTGAGTCTATGGTGGAGTGTTGAGTCTATGGGTAGCAGTGTTGAGTCCTTGGTGCAGTGTTGAGTCTATGGGTAGCAGTGTTGAGTCTATGGGTGGCAGTGTTGAGTCTATGGGTGGCAGTGTTGAGTCTATGGGTGACAGTGTTGAGTCTATGGGGCAGTGTTGAGTCTATGGGTAGCAGTGTTGAGTCTATGGGTAGCAGTGTTGAGTCTATGGGTGACAGTGTTGAGTCTATGGGGCAGTGTTGAGTCTATGGGTGGCAGTGTTGAGTCTATGGGTAGCAGTGTTGAGTCTATGGGTGGCAGTGTTGAGTCTATGGGTGGCAGTGTTGAGTCTATGGGTGGCAGTGTTGGGTCTATGGGGCAGTGTTGAGTCTATGGGTTAGCAGTGTTGAGTCTATGGTGCAGTGTTGAGTCTATGGTGCAGTGTTGAGTCTATGACAGTGTTGAGTCTATGGGTGACAGTGTTGAGTCTATGGGTGGCAGTGTTGAGTCTATGGGTGGCAGTGTTGAGTCTATGGTGCAGTGTTGAGTCTATGGGTGACAGTGTTGAGTCTATGGGTGGCAGTGCTGAGTCTATGGGTAGCAGTGTTGAGTCTATGGGTGGCAATGTTGAGTCTATGGGTGGCAGTGTTGAGTCTATGGTGCAGTGTTGAGTCTATGGGGCAGTGTTGAGTCTATGACAGTGTTGAGTCTATGGGTAGCAGTGCTGAGTCTATGGGTAGCAGTGCTGAGTCTATGGTGCAGTGTTGAGTCTATGGGTGGCAGTGTTGAGTCTATGGGGCAGTGTTGAGTCTATGGTGCAGTGTTGAGTCTATGGGGCAGTGTTGAGTCTATGGGTGACAGTGTTGAGTCTATGGGTGACAGTGTTGAGTCTATGGGTGGCAGTGTTGAGTCTATGGGGCAGTGTTGAGTCTATGGGTGACAGTGTTGAGTCTATGGGTGACAGTGTTGAGTCTATGGGTGGCAGTGTTGAGTCTATGGGTGACAGTGCTGAGTCTATGGCAGTGTTGAGTCTATGGGGCAGTGTTGAGTCTATGGCAGTGTTGAGTCTATGGGGCAGTGTTGAGTCTATGACAGTGTTGAGTCTATGGGTAGCAGTGCTGAGTCTATGGGTAGCAGTGCTGAGTCTATGGTGCAGTGTTGAGTCTATGGGTGGCAGTGTTGAGTCTATGGGGCAGTGTTGAGTCTATGGTGCAGTGTTGAGTCTATGGGGCAGTGTTGAGTCTATGGGTGACAGTGTTGAGTCTATGGGTGACAGTGTTGAGTCTATGGGTGGCAGTGTTGAGTCTATGGGGCAGTGTTGAGTCTATGGGTGACAGTGTTGAGTCTATGGGTGACAGTGTTGAGTCTATGGGTGGCAGTGTTGAGTCTATGGGTGACAGTGCTGAGTCTATGGCAGTGTTGAGTCTATGGGGCAGTGTTGAGTCTATGGCAGTGTTGAGTCTATGGGGCAGTGTTGAGTCTATGACAGTGTTGAGTCTATGGGTGACAGTGTTGAGTCTATGGGTGACAGTGTTGAGTCTATGGGTGGCAGTGTTGAGTCTATGGGGCAGTGTTGAGTCTATGGGTGACAGTGTTGAGTCTATGGGTAGCAGTGTTGAGTCTATGGGGCAATGTTGAGTCTATGGGTGGCAGTGTTGAGTCTATGGTGCAGTGTTGAGTCTATGGTGCAGTGTTGAGTCTATGGTGCAGTGTTGAGTCTATGGGGCAGTGTTGAGTCTATGGGGCATCGTTGAGTCTATGGTGCAGTGTTGAGTCTATGGGTGGCAGTGTTGAGTCTATGGGGCAGTGTTGAATCTATGGTGCAGTGTTGAGTCTATGGGGCAGTGTTGAGTCTATGGCAGTGCTGAGTCTATGGGTAGCAGTGTTGAGTCTATGGGCAGTGTTGAGTCTATGGTGCAGTGTTGAGTCTATGGTGCAGTGTTGAGTCTATGGCAGTGTTGAGTCTATGGCAGTGATGAGTCTATGGCAGTGTTGAGTCTATGACAGTGTTGAGTCTATGGCAGTATTGAGTCTATGGCAGTGTTGAGTCTATGGGGCAGTGTTGAGTCTATGGGTAGCAGTGCTGAGTCTATGGGTAGCAGTGCTGAGTCTATGGTGCAGTGTTGAGTCTATGGGTGGCAGTGTTGAGTCTATGGGGCAGTGTTGAGTCTATGGTGCAGTGTTGAGTCTATGGGGCAGTGTTGAGTCTATGGGTGACAGTGTTGAGTCTATGGGTGACAGTGTTGAGTCTATGGGTGGCAGTGTTGAGTCTATGGGGCAGTGTTGAGTCTATGGGTGACAGTGTTGAGTCTATGGGTGACAGTGTTGAGTCTATGGGTGGCAGTGTTGAGTCTATGGGTGACAGTGCTGAGTCTATGGCAGTGTTGAGTCTATGGGGCAGTGTTGAGTCTATGGCAGTGTTGAGTCTATGGGGCAGTGTTGAGTCTATGGGTGACAGTGTTGAGTCTATGGGTGACAGTGTTGAGTCTATGGGTGGCAGTGTTGAGTCTATGGGTGACAGTGCTGAGTCTATGGCAGTGTTGAGTCTATGGGGCAGTGTTGAGTCTATGGCAGTGTTGAGTCTATGGGGCAGTGTTGAGTCTATGACAGTGTTGAGTCTATGGGTGACAGTGTTGAGTCTATGGGTGACAGTGTTGAGTCTATGGGTGGCAGTGTTGAGTCTATGGGGCAGTGTTGAGTCTATGGGTGACAGTGTTGAGTCTATGGGTAGCAGTGTTGAGTCTATGGGGCAATGTTGAGTCTATGGGTGGCAGTGTTGAGTCTATGGTGCAGTGTTGAGTCTATGGTGCAGTGTTGAGTCTATGGTGCAGTGTTGAGTCTATGGGGCAGTGTTGAGTCTATGGGGCAGTGTTGAGTCTATGGTGCAGTGTTGAGTCTATGGGTGGCAGTGTTGAGTCTATGGGGCAGTGTTGAATCTATGGTGCAGTGTTGAGTCTATGGGGCAGTGTTGAGTCTATGGCAGTGCTGAATCTATGGTGCAGTGTTGAGTCTATGGGGCAGTGTTGAGTCTATGGCAGTGCTGAGTCTATGGGTAGCAGTGTTGAGTCTATGGGCAGTGTTGAGTCTATGGTGCAGTGTTGAGTCTATGGTGCAGTGTTGAGTCTATGGCAGTGTTGAGTCTATGGCAGTGATGAGTCTATGGCAGTGTTGAGTCTATGACAGTGTTGAGTCTATGGCAGTGTTGAGTCTATGGGGCAGTGTTGAGTCTATGGCAGTGCTGAGTCTATGGGGCAGTGTTGAGTCTATGGGTGGCAGTGTTGAGTCTATGGTGCAGTGTTGAGTCTATGGCAGTGTTGAGTCTATGGGGCAGTGTTGAGTCTATGGCAGTGCTGAGTCTATGGGGCAGTGTTGAGTCTATGGGTGGCAGTGTTGAGTCTATGGGTGGCAGTGTTGAGTCTATGGCAGTGTTGAGTCTATGGCAGTGATGAGTCTATGGCAGTGTTGAGTCTATGACAGTGTTGAGTCTATGGCAGTGTTGAGTCTATGGGTGGCAGTGTTGAGTCTATGGGGCAGTGTTGAGTCTATGGGTGGCAATGTTGAGTCTATGGGGCAGTGTTGAGTCTATGGGTGGCAATGTTGAGTCTATGGGGCAGTGTTGAGTCTATGGCAGTGCTGAGTCTATGGCCACTACCGCCCACAGCCGCTCTGCCCACTGTGGTGTTGGCCATTGTGGACCGGCCCTATCAGCGAGGCTTTAGCTGCGTGGACGAGTCCATCCAGTACCCCTACCTGGGGGTGGAGACCGTTCCATTCAGCGCCGTCGTCGCGGGGGGGTTTCTGCTCAACATCATCCCCGTGAGTCGTTGGGACGAGCACTCGCTTGGACTGTACCATTCACAAACACCCCCTCCACTCTCCATTGATTAAAGACTCACACTCTTGGGGCTATACCATATACAAACACCCCCCCGTCTCCATTGATAAAACACTCACTTGGGCTATACCATTCACAAACACCCGACTACACTCCATTGATCAAACACTCACAAACTTGGGCTATACCATTTACAATCAACACCCCTCCTTTGATAAAACACTCACTTGGGCTATACCATTAACAAACACCCCCCCTACACTCTGCATTGATAAAACACTCACAAACTTGGGCTATACCATTAACAAACACCCCCCTCCATTGATAAAACACTCACAAACTTGGACTATACCATTCACAAACACCCCCCTACACTCCCCATTGATAAACACTCACAAATTTGGGCTATACCATTCACAAACACCCCCCTCCATTGATAAAACACTCACAAACTTGGACTATACCATTCAGAAACACCCCCCTCCATTGATAAAACACTCACAAACTGGGCTATACCATTCAGAAACACCCCCCTCCATTGATAAAACACTCACAAACTTGGGGCTATACCGTTCACAAACACCCCCCTCCATTGACAAAACACTCACAAACTTGGACTATACCATTCACAAACACCCCCCTCCATTGATAAAACACTCACAAACTGGGCTATACCATTCACAAACACCCCCCTACACTCCCCATTGATAAAACACTCACAAACTGGACTATACCATTCACAAACACCCCCCTCCATTGACAAAACACTCTCAAACTGGACTATACCATTCACAAACACCCCCCTCCATTAATAAAACACTCACAAACTTTGGGCTATACCATTAACAAACACCCCCCCCTACACTCTCCATTGACAAAACACTCACAATCTTCGGCTATACCATTAACAAACACCCCCTTCCATTGACAAAATACTCACAAACTTGGGCTATACCAATCACAATCACCCCCCTCCATTGATAAAACATTCACAAACTTGGACTATACCATTCACAAACACCCCCCTACACTCCCCATTGATAAACACTCACAAATTTGGGCTATACCATTCACAAACACCCCCCTCCATTGATAAAACACTCACAAACTTGGACTATACCATTCAGAAACACCCCCCTCCATTGATAAAACACTCACAAACTTTGGGCTATACCGTTCACAAACACCCCCCTCCATTGATGAAACACTCACAAACTTGGGGCTATACCATTCACAAACACCCCCCTCCATTGACAAAACACTCACAAACTTTGGGCTATACCATTCACAAACACCCCCCTCCATTGATAAAACACTCACAAACTGGGCTATACCATTCACAAACACCCCCCTACACTCCCCATTGATAAAACACTCACAAACTGGACTATACCATTCACAAACACCCCCCTCCATTGACAAAACACTCTCAAACTGGACTATACCATTCACAAACACCCCCCTCCATTAATAAAACACTCAACAAACTTTGGGCTATACCATTAACAAACACCCCCCCCCCTACACTCTCCATTGACAAAACACACAATCTTGGGCTATACCATTAACAAACACCCCCTTCCATTGACAAAACACTCACAAACTTGGGCTATACCAATCACAATCACCCCCCTCCATTGATAAAACATTCACAAACTTGGACTATACCATTCACAAACACCCCCCTACACTCCCCATTGATAAACACTCACAAATTTGGGCTATACCATTCACAAACACCCCCCTCCATTGATAAAACACTCACAAACTTGGACTATACCATTCACAAACACCCACCTCCATTGATAAAACACTCACAAACTTGGACTATATCATTCAGAAACACCCCCCTCCATTGATAAAACACTCACAAACTTTGGGCTATACCGTTCACAAACACCCCCCTCCATTGATGAAACACTCACAAACTTGGGGCTATACCATTCACAAACACCCCCCTCCATTGACAAAACACTCACAAACTTTGGGCTATACCATTCACAAACACCCCCCTCCATTGATAAAACACTCACAAACTGGGCTATACCATTCACAAACACCCCCCTACACTCCCCATTGATAAAACACTCACAAACTGGACTATACCATTCACAAACACCCCCTTACATTGACAAAACACTCACAAACTTGGACTATACCATTCACAAACACCCCCCCCCTACACTCCCAGATGGCTCTGGGCAAATGGTTCTGGTCTCGGGGTGACTTTGGGCTATACCATTCACAAACACCCCCATCCATTAATAAAACACTCTCACACTGGACTATACCATTAACAAACACCCCCTTACATTAACAAAACACTCACAAACTGGACTATACCGTTCACAAACACCCCCTTACATTAACAAAACACTCACTAACTGGACTATTCCATTCACAAACACCCCCTTACATTAACAAAACACTCACAAACTTGGACTATACCATTCACAAACACCCCCTTACATTAACAAAACACTCACAAACTTGGACTATACCATTCACAAACACCCCCTTACATTAACAAAACACTCTCAAACTTGGACTATACCATTCACAAACACCCCCCTCCATTAACAAAACACTCACAAACTTGGACTATACCATTCACAAACACCCCCTTCCCCTCTCCCCATTGATAAAACACTCAAACTTGGACTATACCATTCACAAACACCCCCATCCATTAATAAAACACTCACAAACTGGACTATACCATTCACAAACACCCCCCTCCATTGACAAAACACTCTCAAAGTGGGCTATACCATTCACAAACACCCCCCTCCATTGACAAAACACTCACAAACTGGACTATACCATTCACAAACACCCCCCTCCATTGACAAAACACTCACAAACTTGGACTATACCATTCACAAACACCCCCATCCATTAACAAAACACTCACAAACTGGACTATACCATTCACAAACACCCCCCCCCCCCACACTCCCTGATGGCTCTGGGCGAGTGGTTCTGGTCTCGGAGTGACTTTGGGCTATACCATTAACAAACACCCCCCTACACTCCCCATTGAAAAAACACTCACAAACTTGGACTATACCATTCACAAACACCCCCATCCATTAACAAAACACTCTCAAACTGGACTATACCATTCACAAACACGCCCTTACATTAACAAAACACTCTCAAACTTGGACTATACCATTCACAAACACCCCCTTGCATTAACAAAACACTCACAAACTTGGACTATACCATTCACAAACACCACCCTTACATTGACAAAACACTCTCAAGCTTGGACTATACCATTAACAAACACCCCCCTCCATTGACAAAACACTCACAAACTGGACTATACCATTCACAAACACCCCCTTACATTGACAAAACACTCACAAACTTGGACTATACCATTCACAAACACCCCCTTACATTAACAAAACACTCACAAACTTGGACTATACCATTCACAAACAACCCCCTTACATTAACAAAACACTCACAAACTTGGACTATACCATTCACAAACACCCCCCTTACATTAACAAAACACTCACAAGCTTGGACTATACCATTCACAAACACCCCCATCCATTGACAAAACACTCTCAAACTTGGACTATACCATTCACAAACACCCCCTTACATTAACAAAACACTCACAAACTTGGACTATACCATTCACAAACACCCCGCTCCATTGACAAAACACTCTCAAACTTGGACTGTACCATTCACAAACACCCCCATCCATTAATAAAACACTCACAAACTGGACTATACCATTCACAAACACCCCCCTCCATTGACAAAACACTCTCAAAGTGGGCTATACCATTCACAAACACCCCCCTCCATTGACAAAACACTCACAAACTGGACTATACCATTCACAAACACCCCCCTCCATTGACAAAACACTCACAAACTTGGACTATACCATTCACAAACACCCCCATCCATTAACAAAACACTCACAAACTGGACTATACCATTCACAAACACCCACCCCCACACTCCCTGATGGCTCTGGGCGAGTGGTTCTGGTCTCGGAGTGACTTTGGGCTATACCATTAACAAACACCCCCCTACACTCCCCATTGATAAAACACTCACAAACTTGGACTATACCATTCACAAACACCCCCATCCATTAACAAAACACTCTCAAACTGGACTATACCATTCACAAACACGCCCTTACATTAACAAAACACTCTCAAACTTGGACTATACCATTCACAAACACCCCCTTGCATTAACAAAACACTCACAAACTTGGACTATACCATTCACAAACACCACCCTTACATTGACAAAACACTCTCAAGCTTGGACTATACCATTAACAAACACCCCCCTCCATTGACAAAACACTCACAAACTGGACTATACCATTCACAAACACCCCCTTACATTGACAAAACACTCACAAACTTGGACTATACCATTCACAAACACCCCCTTACATTAACAAAACACTCACAAACTTGGACTATACCATTCACAAACAACCCCCTTACATTAACAAAACACTCACAAACTTGGACTATACCATTCACAAACACCCCCCTTACATTAACAAAACACTCACAAGCTTGGACTATACCATTCACAAACACCCCCATCCATTGACAAAACACTCTCAAACTTGGACTATACCATTCACAAACACCCCCTTACATTAACAAAACACTCACAAACTTGGACTATACCATTCACAAACACCCCGCTCCATTGACAAAACACTCTCAAACTTGGACTGTACCATTCACAAACACCCCCATCCATTGACAAAACACTCTCAAACTTGGACTATACCAATCACAAACACCCCCCTCCATTGACAAAACACTCACAAACTTGGACTAGACCATTCACAAACACCCCCCTCCATTGATAAAACACTCACAAACTGGACTATACCGTTCACAAACACCCCCATCCATTCACAAAACACTCACAAACTGGGCTATACCATTCACAAACACCTCCCTTCCCCACT